TGAGGGGCAGGAGGCTGAGAGACACTACCCAGGACAGGCCCAGCCACTGTCCCTCCCAGCCCAGGAAGAGGTCTCTCATCCTGCTGAACCTCAGTGACGGTCACAAAGGTCACAGCAATGGAGGCCATGACACTCAGCACATAGCGAGCATTGTGTAACCTTAATCCTACCACAACCAGACACAGCAACCATATCCAGGACCACAGAGCTGGCCAGCAGAGGGGGAGGGCCAGCTAGGCCCTTGGCTCCAACCCTGGCCACCCTTCCTCCCCACCCGCCCTGAGGTGACTCAGGGCCTCTGCCAGTCTCTACCAGTTACACCCACTTAAGCACACGCCTGGCAGCTAGAAGTCCAGGTGGGCAAGCCCTCAGTGAGGGAAGGAGGCCCCCTCTGCCCTCTACCCACACGTCCCACCCAGCCACTTCTACCTCCAAGGTAGGCCACATTTGTACTTGAAAATATTCAAAGCAACCCACAGCAGGAGTCTGTCTGGGTGCTGTTTGTAAGGACAGGGCCACAAGCGAAGGTCCCTCACCACGGGCACTGACTCCCCCATCAGCTTCCCCTCATGAAGGGACAACAGTCACCAGCCTGGGCCCCAGCACCCTCCACCCTAACGGGGGCTTTCTGCTCTCACCCAAGCCTTTAACAGGATACGGTCAGAGTCCAGGCCTGGTCTGGCACCAACCGTCCCATCCAACCTGGAAGGATATGCCAACAGCGCACAGACCAGAGCCCCCTGTCCTTCCTGCAGCAGCCCAGCCACTGTGTGGCCAAGATCAAGGCCCTATGTCGGCAGCCTCTACAAAGTCCCCCAAAGAGCCCCTGGTCGTAGAGCCTGGTACATTTCCCTAGACTCAACCCAACAGCGTGCAGTGGACCTGTTGTCCTGACTTGACCATCTGATGAGGCCAGCCCAGCCCCTCCTCCAAAGTAGGGGGTATGCACTCCTCCAGACCAGGGCCAGGTCAGCCCCACGCTTTCAGATATTCAGGTGCTGGGAACCCTGGCTTGGGGAAGTGTGCTGTGTGGGCACAGAACAGTGTGGACACACTCAGCCAGGTGGTGGCCAGCAGGGGCACGTGCACTAGCAAAGGTCTGTGGACTAGTTCAACAGCTAAAACAAACTGGAAAAACAGTGAACACACCCTATCCACCAGCAGGCTTGACCCTCGGCCTGGGACATGGTCACAGCTCTTCAAAGCTCCCCAGGTTCAGCACATTCAGAACTGGAGCTGGACCACCTGCCCACGCAGCCAGCATCAGGGATCAAGGATCCCTAGGACCCACAGGGTCCACGTCACAGGCCTCCATGCCTGCTGGCCACGATGTGCAACCTCCCGCGTCTGTGCAGACTGGTTTAAACACCAGACTTGGGCAGAATCCTGTAAAATTGAGGTTTTCTGCTCTATCATCTGTGAAACTGCCCAGACAGCTTCCTGCCTGCCTGTTAATTACTTGTTTTATTGCCTTGCAGCAACAAAAATGTTGAAATTTACTCCATAAGTAATCAGACAGAGTGATTAAAAGTGTTCCATCCTTTCACAGTAATTTCACTTTAAATTATTGGTGCGGGTTACAAATCCTGTGAGGAGGCTGGGGAAGTTGGACAAGTCCAGGCCCCCCCAAATCCAGGTTTCCCTGGAAACCGCAACTCTCTAAGGCATTTTCACCTTTTGGGAAATTTCCATAAGATTCTCCAACTCCTCAATCGATAGACATTACCTCCCCCAGTGGGAGGGCTGCAGGAAGGCCTGGCCTGGCCCGGCCTGTGGGAAGCTGAGATGCCCATTCAGCTGCTCAATCTCCCTCAGTCTCCCTCCCCTCTGCCATGCCCTGGTCCTGAGCAGCCACCTCTCCTCCCTGTGCTGGGACAGTAGATGTGCATTTGTCCCTAGACAGCAGCCAGCCAAGGCAGGGGCAGAGCTCCCCATATGCCCCAGGGCTAAATGTGGGGCTACAGGAAGGGCCAAAGGGCAGCCTAGACTCCAGCCAGCTAGGTTATCCAGGGCCAGCAGGGAACCTGAGGCAAGCCCCCTTTGCTGACTCCCCTCTCACCTGGGAGGTGATACCAGGCAGGCCAGCAGCTCCAGGTCTTGCAACCTCAGAGGTCTCCACAGGGCAGCTAGACCCATGGGGACCGAGGGGCCTTGGTGATCCCCCAGACAGCCTGACCAGTGAGGTGCCCCAGGGTGGCACAGTCCTCAACCCTAGATTTTCCATCTGGCCTACTTTACACGCCCTCACCTCCAGGCCACTGAGTGGAAGAGACACTGGAAGCTCACGCCCTCTGCACCTCCAAGCTCTCACCTCTGAAGCAGGGCCCTCTGCTTATCGGGACAACTTTCTCAGCCTCTTTTCCCCATGACACTGCTCTGGCAGGTTGGCAGTGAGAAGTAAGCAAGGTCAGCAAACAACAGGCACATCTTAGGCCTCATTCCTGTTCCCTCTGCTACTGAGCCACATGAAGACCTCTGCTGAGACTGACCAGCTCCACGTGCAGTGGGCAGCACACAAGCCAGCCAGCACGCTGGAGTCAGGCTCACAGAGGCCCCACAGGGCTCACCCCAGGCAGCCTCCCAGGGCAGCCCCACGGGACACATCTGCCTTCTTTAGAGTCCTTCCGGCGGTCCACACTGGCTTTGGGAGAGGTGGCAGTCAAACAGACTCTGCCTAGGCAGTACCCCTGGTGGGGTCGGCCTCCACCTCCAGGGGCTCCTCCAGGGGCTCCTCCAGGACACTCACAGACAGTGTGCAACGGTCCTGGCTCCACCAGCCTGTGTCCCAGGGCCCTGTGGGTCTTGCCCATGAAGCCCTGCTAAGGGGTAGACACATTCCTCCTGACCCTGGACAGCAGCTATCCCCGACAAGTCTAGCAAGGATAGCTGAGAGGCTGGCAGAGCACAATCTCTCAGGAAGATAGAAGATTGGCCCACAAGGTTCAGCACTGCCCAGGCACAGGACTCACATCCACTCTGAGCCCTGGCCCTGTCCTCCACTGGCTGCTCCAGGCTCCAGGGAGAGACTCAGTCTTCCTTATTAATTAATGAACAAACCAAATGGGGTCTGATGCATAACATGGGCCAGTGCATGCCAGGCAGCAGGCCACACAGGCTGGTCACACTCAGGAAGCACAGGCCATTTAGACTCCTGAGCTGGGTGTCAGCTGGGCATGGAAGGCTCCCCACCTGGGGACCTGGGGAATAGCTGTACGAGCTGTGCTACCATGCTTGGTGGGCCACTGGGTAGGCGGAAAGGGTGGACACCCTTCCCAGTTGGTCTTCACAAACCCCAGGGTAGGGGCAGCTGCACTCACTTTGCTGATGAAGAAAGAGAGGTCTGCAAAGATTCTGAAATGAGACTAGAGTGACCCAAAGTCAGCTCCCAAACACCTGCTCTTAAACACTCTTCCTCCTGCTGCCCTCATCCCACACAAGAAAGCTCCACGGCAGAGTGGGTCCACCTCCCCACAGCCACTCCTGCCGGGGCGCTGGGGTTTTGGGAAGTAGAGGAGAGGCCTGAGGCAGGCTGAAGGTGGGCACGTTCAGGGGGTGCCGACACAGAGCCTGCACTGCCAGCGCCCCCCACACACTCTGCTGCCTGCTCTGGATGTTTCAGCGCAGAGAAGGGACAGGGAGGCAGGCAGCAGGGCAGAGGGCCGACCAGCTCGGACCCGGATACAGGGCCACACAGAGGGAGCCCTGGAGATGCCACCAGCCCAGCATGTCCCCTCCCAGCCCACTGAACACTGAACTCTGTCCTGCCCGTGGTCCCAACGTCACAGTCCACGACCTGGCTGGCCAGGGCAGACAGGCAGGGAGGGAGGTGGTGGCTGCCGGAGGACCCTTAAGGGCACACAGGCTCTTGGAGGATTAAGACACACTGGCTGCTACACCCCTGGCTCTGGCCCTGGCTCCGGGAAAAGCCAGATTCACCGCTCTGGGGGAGGCAGGGCCCACTCAGCGTTGTTTGCTCTCACAGCACCAGCACTGCCAGGGAAGCCCCCACCTCACACCCTACCACACGCCGTTCCAGGTCACACCCCTCACCGGCCTGCCAGCACCGGTCTGGGTATTCTCCCATAATTCGTTCCTCTCTCCCATCCCAAAATGCCTCTTCCACACAAAATGGCTGAGTCTCAGCACTTCCCGCAACCCTGCTTTAGCCGGGATGGGCGTGAAGCACCTCACACCGGGAGGCCGTGCACGCACTCGCACTCGCACACGCAGTCACACGCAGTAGCTCACACAGTGTCACACGCTAACACCCATGTGCACACGAACACGGTGGCTGCCCGCCAGCCCTGCCCCAGGAGGCTCAGCACCCTTCACCGGGGCCTGGGGAGAGGGCTGGACGCTCGGAGGCCCAGGGCCGTCGGCAGCGGGGCAGCTGCAGCTCCTGCTCCCCACCTCTATTGCAGGAGGGGGTCGAGGGCCCAGAAGGCAGGAGCCGCCAGCAGCTGCAGAGACGGGTCGGGACTACCCTGGGCGCAGCGGTGAGGGGATTCAGGTCCAGCCAGGCATGGGCTCAGACACCGGCAGGGCAGAGCCGGCAGCGGCCCTCGGCCCAGGGCTGGGTGGGGGGAAGCTGGGACCCATCCCCCATTCCAGCAGCCCAGAAGCTCAAGGGGAGAGCGAGAAGTTGGGAGGGCTGCGAACAGTGCCCGGCCCCGGGTTAGGGGCGCCCAGCGCAGCGGGGCCGGGGAGCGCAGACCCCGGGCTGCGCAGCCCTCCCTCCCGCCGGCCCTTTGTTCGGCGCAGCGGGCCGCGGGGAGGGGCCTCCCGGGCTGAGGGGGAGGGGGCTCGGGCGCCGCGCACCCTGCGCGGCTGGGGAGGGGCCGGCGCAGCCCGCCGGGCGCCCCCACCACCCCCGGGCAGCCCCCGACCCCAGAACTCCTTCCAGGCGGATTTCCAAAATCGCGCTCGTGTCTCCGCCCTTTGCTTCAGCCGGGGGACGGTTCCCGACCCAGACCCCGGGCCCGCGCGCCCCGGCCGCTCACACGTAGGCGTGGTAGATGAACGCCCAGCCGCGGGGCCGCTCCAGCACGTTGTAGAGGAAATTCTGCAGCTTGCGGTAGAAGGCGTTGCGCTTGGGGGGCTTCCCGGCGCCCGCGCCGCCCGCGCGCGGCTTGCTCAGGATGCTGCCGCGCTTGGGGGCCTCGGAGCCGGCGATGAGCAGCGCGCCGTCGCGCGTGGAGTCGGGCGCGCCGGGGTCCAGCCCCACGAATCCCACCTTGAGCTTCTTCTCCCCGCTCGGGCCGGGGTACACGCCGCCGTTGCGCGACTTCTGCACCATGGTGCCGGGCGGCGCCCTGGCCGGGCGCGGGCTCAGCGAGGACGGCGCTCGGGGGGCGGCGCGGG